AAGGGAAAGGCCGCGCGCGAGAGTGCCGAGCCCAAGAAGGTGCCCATGAGGCTCGCAGGAGAACAACAGATCGGCTCAACTGTCGGTCCGTTTGTCCATGCAGGGCCCTTGACGGTGCCTAGTATCATTCCGGCCATGACCGTGGACACGACCCTGAACTTCCGGGCACCGCCGGGGCTGGAATGCTCCGAGGAGGCTAGCCCGATTAGTCCTCCACCAGGTCTTGGGATGTTGGCCCAGCCGGTGCCGAACACGTTTGCAGCGATGCTTCGGGAGGGTTTGGAGAGCTCTCACCGCAAGCCTCTGCTGAAACACGCCGGCTACAGCCACGACTGTCTGCTTCAAGAGCTACCCCTTCAGCTGGATGCGAAGGTCCCGGCCAACAAGGAGTGGGATCTTGGCGCCGACAGTGTGGCATCCACTGGCTATGCATCGGACGTGAGCGAGCCATCTAGTCCCACGACTGGGTCGTTTTGGCTGTGAGCAAACACAGCCGAATTTGCAGTCTTGCGCCGTGGTGGGTGGAGCCCCCCTTTTTGGCCTCAGCAAAGGCTGCGCGTGAAGGTGTTGTCCTGCCGCGTGTTGTGGCCTTTGGACAATTTCCCTCTTCCCCAACACTTTTAGGAAACAACAGCAACTGAGTTGCAACGCTTTCGCTGTCTTGGGTGGAACTCATGCACGGCCTCATTGACTTGCTTTGCGAGAGAGCAAGCAAGCGTTTGAGAGAGCACCGTGCTATGTCGGATGCTCTAAGACTCTACGACCTGTGCGTGTGCGTGCGTGGTTCGGTAGGCAGGCAGGACAGACAGATTTGAGGCGCCTAACATCCATGCACATGCACTCATGTGTTGTTAGCATTGAACATTGACTGGCTACGATTGGGCAGCCTGACGGCTAAATGCCGCTAAATTGGGCATCTCTGCTTCTGGTCTTGCCGGCTACGACCCCGAAACCTTCCCATCTTCGGATGAAGTGTCGTGGTTCCTGCGTTCGCATTATCCCCGGGGTCAACAGCCGGACGTCAAAACTGAGCTTTGGTACATCGCAGGGCTTGCTTGTACAGCTTCCGCAGATCCAACAATGCGGAGCCTGCGCAGAGCGTGGGTTGGTTTGAACTTGAGTTTGTACTTGGAGAAAATCTTGAAGGTCTTGAAGCGATGCGTGCAGTGCAGCAGCCCTCAGGAGCTTCTGCAACCTGAAGTTTGTGCCTTGCTGAAGCCCGGAGGACGGCATCCCATCCTGTCCGAACTTCGGCTGCTCGCCAGAAGGAGCCTGGCCAGCTGACCAGGTCGGGGCTCTCCGCTTCTTCCGGAAGGCCTCTGTGCAGAGACGAGAAAAGGGCCTTTTCTGACTTTGTTGTCAGGCCTCGGTCTGCCGTCTCCGGCGTTCAAGGCGACGAGAGGCAACCGTGGCAAAAGGATTCTGCTTGCCACAGACTGCCTCTGCAATAAAGCGGATTGGGAAGCAAAGACTGGCCGCGAGGTCTTGCCTGGAATGTTCCTGGCTTTCAGACTGTAAGTCTTCCTGACCCATACTACCTCTCTAAGTCGAACACAAACTCTCTCTTTGCGCGAACTGATCACGCCATGAAGATGAAGCGCTTCACGACTCAGTACCGACTCCACATACTGACTTCAAGTCATTCCGACTCCTTCCGCTCGGATGGCGAGTAGGAAGATGCACACCTCATACTAGTAGAGCCTGCCGGCTCAGCATGGCCACCTGAATGGCTGAGGATGAGCAGGTGGATTTGTAATGTCAAGACAAGAATTCAGATCGGGGAGAGACGTTCGGGAACCCCTGCCAGTCCCGGAGCCGACGAGATCGGAGCAACGAGCATCTCACGGCGAGTTTGGAACATGGGGGCGTATCTGCCCTGAAATATCGGAGTATGGAAGACGATCTCTTGTCAGTGTTGCAGCCACCGCATGGTGCGAATAGTGCGAGCCAGGCTTGGTGTGCTACGCAAGCTATGGCAAATCTACGCCGAGACTGTACTGCCACTGGAGCAAAAGCCCGCACCTGACTGCGAAAAGCCACTCCAGAATTCACCAGAGCAAAGCGTAAAGCGTGGCATGGGGAGCGATTCAAGGTCGTTTTACGAGCACTTTTGTGCCCCACCCATTTCGTTGGAAGAGTTCGAAGCACGCCCTCAGGTGCGGAACTGGGAAAGAAGGCACTTTACCTTTCTGTTGCTGCGGTAGCTGGTTCTTGGAGGTGCTTCTTCTTGGCCAATACAGCACCGGCAAAACATCCATGGCGCCGGCCTTGTGCATTGCCGCTGTGCCGAGCTCTGACTCTGAGCCCGACCTGCGAGGTGAAGTGGCTGACCGAGTCCGAAAGCAACTACTTTGACGTGCGGCCGCAGCCCAGCACCGATAAGTCCGCACCTCGAGTGGGCCGTCCGAGGGTCTGCTGGGGCACATTGTGGCACGAGGTTTATGGCAGTGGTCCACGGCGATGAGGAAGGCTCGCCACAAATGACGCTACGGCAGCGGGCATTGGGCGACGAAGCCTTTACTCACGAGGTATTATCCACGGCAACGCTGCTGCCTGCCTTCCCCAGCTACCTTACCAGGTTCTCGAGCGGGCAAACCCTCTGAGTTTTGGGAGCGGAGCTCGGAGCCTGTCAGCCAAGGGCTTGTCCAAATTCGGCACGGACTTCCTTGGCAGCTTCCAGGCGCGAGTTCCGTGTGCGCTCCTTTGCACATTTCCGCATTCGTACTTGCCGCTATAGGCCCTCGTGCTCCCGTCGGAGATCCTGCGGGACCGACTTCAACTAATGGAGTCATGTGCAGCCATGGCGGCGCGGTGCAGGATATCACCTTCATTGACACTCCTGGAGTTCTGTCTGGCAGCAAGCAGCGCATCGGTCGGGACTACGACTTTGCGCCAGGGAGCCCAGCAAAGCCCAGCAAAGTGTAGTCCGTTCTGTGCCCAAAGCACGATGCGAGGAAGATCAGTGCCTGGATGGCAGACCGAGCCGACCTGGTGCTCCTCACGCCCGGTTCCCGAGCCGAAGGCCTTCCGGCTGAGGTTCTCGGTTCCAGCTGAGGTTCGACGCCCACAAGCTGGACATCTCCGACGAATTTCAGCAAGTCATGGAGGCCCAGAGCCCAGAGCCACAAACGGAAGGGCGCCCTTTGGCGGCTGAGAGGTCTTGCGGCCCCATGCCGGCAAGGTGCGATGCGTGCTCAACAAGGTGTGACTCTCGCGCCAAAAAGAGAAAAGCACCGGAGCAAGGGAAGTTGTGGCCGCAAGGCGGACCAGATCGATGCATCCAATCTGGTCAGGGTCTACGGGGCCCTCCTGTGGAATGTTGGGAAGGTGCGAGGTCGCACGCAATGCACAATATGCCTCAATATGCATTCAATATGCACACAGTCAGTGTGTAAGGAATCAGAAAAGCGAGGTTGATTTGATGTAGTTGTCCATAAGACTAGGACCAGGACAGCGGTGAGCCTGTGTGTGTGAAGCCAGGTGTTTCAGACACCCGAAGTCGCGCGTGTCTTTGTCAGTTCCTTCTGGAACGAGCCGTACCGTTTCCAGGCACATTGAGTGTTTCGACAAAGTTGGCGATGCCGCACATTCGCAAGCAAGGATCACGTGACCCTCTTTGAGGAGGACAAGGCTGCAGTGGTGAAGGCGGGTCACGTGCTGTATCGTCGGAGCTGTCGCTCGTCTGAGAGCTGGCTTGCGCAGGAGCTGCAGTCGCTTCCGCACACAGCATTGTTGCGGAAGATCAACAACCTGACAGCCCGTGTCGCAGCCTCACCAGCATGAATGTGAGTGAGATGCCGGCCCATGTGGACTCGAGAAGGTGCGAAGAGTCAGAACTCACGTCATCGTTGTCGGGTACCTGCGTTCGAGGACATTGCTTTCGGGATGGAGTGATGAATGCATTCCACAGGCCAGAGATGGAGAGAGAGAGAGAGAGAGTAGCCATTTTGGCTCAAGGCGTGAGTGCCCAAGCCTCGAGCCCGGGGGAGAGCGTGAGGGGGGAGAGGCTCCAAACCCGGCCGATCCTCTGAGAGAGCGTGTGCCTTTGCTTAGGGGAGGGGCCATCGTCCTGACCGGCAAGAACGCTCCCACTACTTGTCTTCCGCGTCGAGGTCCGCCGGGGGGACATAGTCGAGAACAATCCAGGAGGGGTTCGGCGGCCCTACTTCTGCACTTCGTCGCCGGAGGGATTCGGGGCTACCTCAAGGGGAGACACAGAACCTAGGGGGTGCGATCGTGATACTATCTGCAGCACGGCGACCTCGTTTCCCTTGCCTACACAGTGCCCGTCATGGCAGGATCCGGTTCCGGAGGGAATATGCAGACCGACCTCCCCGCTTTGGAAGGAGCTTCACCACAGAAGCGCCGTGCGGCGGAACAGCCCGCTCCTGATCTGTCCTTGGACGCCATCCGCGAGGCCATCAGGGGGGAAGTGCAAACAGCCCTTGGAGGGGTCCGCGATGACCTGCGCTCCTTTGCGGGGCGCGTTGACCACGTCGAAAACCAAGTGACCCAGAAGATGCAGCAAACCATCAACCTCCTCGAGGACATGACGGGGAAGTACACCGCCCACGGGGAGATACTCAAGCAGCTCCAGGAGGCGAACAGGGAGTTCCAACTACGCCTCGAAAGCCTCGAGAAGAAGGGCGGGGGAAGCACGACAGCAGGCAGCACAGCGGGGCCACTCTCAGAAGGGGGACGGCAGCCCGCTCTCGTCATTGGGGGCTGGAACCCCGACCAGGACGCCCGTGACACCAAGCAGGCCGCAGAAGACATTCTTCGCTCAGTTGAGGCTCCCATCGACCTGGGGGGGGATGTTTGTGCCCGGCATCCGCCGGGGATACGCAATCCTTCCGATCAACGAGCTGCCGGGGGAGAGTCCTGAAGCCCGCAGAGCCAGAGTGCAAGATGTCATCTCCCGTGTCAGGGCCGCGAACGTTCAACTTGGAGCTCGGCAGGATGGGGGGATCAGAAAGGCGTGGATTGCCATCTCGCAGCCGCCAGAGAAGCGGCGTAGAGCCCGCCTCGCGGCGAAGGTCAAGCGCTTGTACCTCACGATGGGGGGGACCAAAACAGCCTCGAGATGGAGTACAGCAGTGGCTCAGCGTGGCTCACAAGGGGGGGACAGTCCGTGAAGGTGTGTTCGGCTACCGCAAGCAGGCCGCCGGGGGGAGAAGAAGCAGGACCTGGATGGGTCGACCTGGGGGCGATAGCACAGGTACTCCGCTGCACCAAGGACGCCGTTGCCAAGGAGTGGTCCCCGCTCAAGGCGGAGATCAACTGAGAAGAGGCGAACATGGCTGATCAGTTTCACGTTGCCCCCCTGAGGGGGGAAAACCTTCTGCACACCTTTGAGACGCTCACTTGGAATGTCGGGGGCCTCTCGGCAAACAGAGTGCTGGAAGTCCTCGAGCATTTCCGGGGGAGCTCCGTACTGCAGCACATTCAATTTGTCATGCTCCAGGAAATCATCACTGAAGCAGGGAGCTTTCATGCAGAATCGCAGCAGTGGCAGCTTGTGTTTGGCAAGTGTGAGGGAGAGTTTCGGGGGGAGGGGGTGGCGCACCGCACAGCATTCAAGCACCAACGCACAGCGGTCATGCAAGCCGGGGTCGCGACCACCATCGTCACTCAGCACACCCACATACGAGTGCTCTCTGGCCACATACCACACCATGCCACAATCCCACAAACCGAAGCTATCCTACACCAATGGGGGGAAACACTGCAAGGAAGGGTGGTGGTGCTTGGCATGGACGCTAACGAGACCTTTCGGCCGCCTCTTGCTAACCGACCCGGGTGCTATGCGTGCACCGGGCGGGGGGAAGTGATACTTGAGTGGCTGCTGTCCAAGGACATCAAGCTCCCACCGCAGGACCTCCCCACACCCACCTACCATCCATACAACCCCTCCATGAGACCGCGACGCCTTGATTACGTGGCCACCAAAGGGGGGACCCCAGGCCCCGGCAGGGTGGTCGCATGCAAAGACAGAGCAGCCTCGGATCACGACGGGGTGGCGGTACCCTTGGGGTTCCACAAAGGGGGTGGAGCGAGCAGAAGGATGTGGGGGCCCCGCAAACTCCGACCACCCCACCAGACAGACATGTTGCTCAGAGTCCCCCCACCCAAAGGCGAGGACCCACACCTCACCTTGTGCACCCTAGCAAAAGCCATTACACTGCCGGGGGGGAGGGCCGACACGTTCCGCGAAAGCGGCACACTCACCCACCACCGCAAGCTGGCACAAAGGGCGGCCCCGGGGGACCAGGCGCGCCGAGCATGGAAAGCCGTCAGCCGCCTACGCAAGCAAGAATTCCGCCAGTGGAAGCACTCGCAAGCGGAGCGAGCAGCACAACTCGACTGGCGCGCGCTTCGAAGCCTGCAACAGCCCAGCACGCACCGGGGGTGGCAACTCCAACTCACAGACGACCCCAACTGGCAGAGCGACCTACGGCAACACATGCGGGGGATCTTTGCCAAACCTGTCCCTAGAGCGGCCCAAGCAAGACGGGGGGAATTGCGCCACGCACTCCGAGCCAGGTGCAAAACCACGCCCTGGACCCCCTTCACCCTAGGCTGGGCGGTCTTTAGCAGGGAAT